AAAAAAAAAAAAGCAATCTTAAAATTTTGTCTTATAATATAAATACAAATTCTACAAAAATATAATCCTTATTTTCAAATATGGAAAAATGTATTTGTCGCCCCCCAGTGACATTAAATTTTGTCACGGGTTATAGAAAGTATATTTTCATGCCCCGAACCTTGATTAATCACGTGTAATAAAATGTGATCAATGATCATGAATAGGAACGAAATGGCAGAGTACAAACTTGTATATTATATAAATGAGTCATGAGTAGTAAATAACGTATGTCACATACTTGAAGTATAAGTAAGTATAAGTGAGTAGTAAATTGTTAGATAGCATAATAAATTAAGTGGTACAATGATGTAATGATGGAATCAATATAAATATGAAAAAAATAAAATTAAAAAAAGGTTGGTCTCTTATTTTAAAAGCAACGAAAGATTAAGAAAACAATATTTACAGTATCAGCAATAAGTCTCGTGGTATGTCAAGTGTCATGCTACACATTGCCAAACATGTATAGAAGTTTGGTTTATTTTTAGTCAAGACAAAAAGTTATAATGGCATTAATAAACAGCGTGATACTTACCGTAACCTATATTAGATTAGTATTGTATCATAACATGCTTTTATAGTGTATTTCACATTCAACTCTTCAAGACTACTTTTGTAAGATTTCGATAATCGAATTTACAAACTGGACAGAACAATATGATTAATGGCATGACTAATAACGAAGCTGATGACGAGATAAATAATGAGGTTAATAGCGAAGCTAATAACGAGGTCAACAATGAGGCTAATAATGGGATCGAAGATGAAGTCAATAATGAGCTTAATAACAGTGATAGTGAAGTCCAGAACGATAATGGTATCTTCATATGAATTCTATTTTATTAAGTATTATTATATGTTTTTAAAACTAAATTTAGTATTTTTATTTCTTTTTTAGGAGTATTATCTTACAATTTTTCCTTATTAGACGTTGGTTATATCTTCCCAACATGGAGCAATATAGATTCTTTTTTCGAAGTTTATGGACAATATTTCGGGTTTGCTGTAATTAAAAAAAGAGTTGAGAGACGTAATGATGGCATAATAAAGTACCGGTCTTTGGGATGTGAATTTGGAGAGAAATATAATCCCAAAAAAAATGTTGATATTAATAACTATCATAACCGCCAATCCAAACATCAAGAATGTTAGTGGCATATAAACTTAAATTTCTCTAAAGACTCTAATTGTATTGCGGTCACAATATTTGTTAACACCCACAACCACGAACTCCATCCCGGGACCTGCAAATATAGTACTAATTTTCGGTCAATTGGAAAGGATGCGTTGAACAACATTGAATACTATACTAAGAATAGAAATCTTTCGATTACTGTGCAACATCAATTGCTTAAAGCCAAGTACCCGGATACGATCTTTCTAGACATGGATCTAGCAAATGCAATTCATAGATTTAAAGCAAAATCTAAAGACCTTGAATCAGATGCTTTAAATCTTCTTTCATTTCTTACCAAGAAGTAATCAGAGGAAACAGGTTGGATTGTCGAATTCGAATTAGATAATGAGAACCATCTTATCTGACTTTTCTGGATGACATCTAAACAAGTATCGCTTTGGCTGGAATATTATGATATTGTCCTTAATGATAACATAGCCAAGATGAATAAATATCAAATGCCCCTTAGTTTATTTCTTGTTGTAGATAACAATACCAAATCTCGTTTAGCAGCACAGGTATTAATTTCTGATAAGACAGTTGATTCTTATCAATAGATCCTTCATTGTACTAAAAAAGCCACTGGAGCTGAACCTTTAGTTTTTATAACAGATGCTGATCCAGCAATGGATAGTGCACTCAAACAAGTATATGGAGATACAAAGTCGTTGCATTGTATTTATCATATCAGTCAAAATCTTCCAAAAAACCTTAAGCGAACATTAGGCAATATGTATAATCAATTTATTGGTGAATTCTACCGCTGTCACAATACTTTAGATGTTATGCTATTTGAACAAAGATGGCAATGCTTATTGCAAAAGTTTCAAGTTATTTAAATAGAGTTCTCTATCCTAGCCATCATGCGTGGGCTTGTGCTTTTATGTCTAAAGTTTTTACTGCTAGAATCCAAACCATGTCTCGTGTAGAGAGATACAACAATATTATAAAGAGAGTATTAAGCAGTAGTAGTAGCCTTTATAACTTAGTTAAAGTTTTAGATGAAAGATTGAAAAAAGAAGCAGAGTGGAATCACTTTTTCGAATATCAAATATTGATTTCTTGTATTGGAATCAGTACTGTAGGAAATGAAATATTTCCTACTATTAATCATTTAATATCTGATTACTTAATGCCTTATATTCTTTCCACCAAACGTGTTGAAATAGCCCAATGTTTGTATTTTGATGCAATATTGACTAACTTTGGAATAATCGATTCATATAATGAGGTATGAAATTGGTTAGAGTAATTGCATAAAATAGTCTTGTGATATAATGCTTTGAGTTAACAGTTATTTTATTCAATATTTTAAAACTGAGATTTGAATATAATTTAATTTTATATGTTTGAATAAAATTTAGATTTAAAATATATCTAATTTAATGCATTAACTTGGTCGAAATACAGCTAACTATTCATAATTTATCATTATAGGATGAAAATATAAGTGACAAATTCATAAAGAATATTTATGTTGCCAGGCAAATCCTACTTAAATCATTGGTTGCAAAAGTTGGTCAAGCCAATGTTCAGGAAATTTGGCAGATTACAGACAAGCGACCAGGAAATAGTCAACGAAAGCACTTCATCATTATTATGAATTCTATTTCTTATATGTGTACATGCATGTCTAATATTTTTCGTGGTATCATATGCCAGCACTATTTTCAAGTACTTTTGGTATCTCAAATTGCTAGGTTTCATATTACAATGATTGCATCATGTTGGTATTGCAATAACAAGAAAGAAGCAAATGATCAATTCAACATAGTCTTCGCAAATGAGAATACTATGCAGGCTCAACAAAATCAAATGCCAATAATTCCCCAGCCACTTTCTATACTCTCTTCAATAGCAAAAAGTAATCAGTCTATAGTATCCTGACGAACAAAATATGGTGAATTATGGGGCCTTGCATATCAAGCAGCACAACTTGCAGTTGATTGCGATGACAATGAGATAGCACAATGGCTGAAAACATTTATTAATAAAAAGAAACAACTTCTGGAAGAGAGCAACCAAAATAGAATGATGACTAGCGAGTATGATGATAGTGACAAAAAAAATGATTTAGTAATTTCTAATCCGCCAGTCACCAAACACAAAGGCAAGCGTGAAACTAAACGATATAAGTCCAGTATAGAGAAAGCACGTCGCCAACCATATTCTTGTCGTATATGTGGTGGGATAGGTCACAATAGTGCAAGATGTAAAAAAAAAAGTAGGTACTGTAACTTAGTATGCAGAATAGAGTATATATGTGTTATAGGTAATAAGAGCTTAATGTGAACTTGGGGAATTAACATCTTTAATGCTTTGAAATTACAAATACATTGATTATATGATTGTTCATTTTTGTGTTAATTTTTTTTTTTATTAATAGCTATGTATTAAGGATTGATAGTGAAATTATACGTATACTTACTAATGCTAACTTTACTTTTTTAGACGACTAATAGGCTGTTACATATATATATGCGTGCATGTGTGCGCATGCATGCCTATATATATGTACGATGTTTTGATTTCTTGTAACATTTTGTGTATTAGCTTGTGCAACAAATAAACATGTTTATGGGTGCATTTAGACTAAAAATAACTTTATAGGCATAAATAGTTACTACATCTTATAGGGAAATTTTTAAAGCAAAAATCATATGTTAAGAATTGGGAAGTTATTTTACATCTCTAATATGTCTAAGAAAATTTATGCCTTAATAAAAAATTAACAGCTGCAAAGTTATCTTCTAGTGTTTCGATCCTAATTTTTAAAGTCCATTCGGATTAAATTCAAATCCTCATTAGTGTATCCGGATGACAATCTGAATTTAGATAAATCTGAATTCAATTATTAAATCTCTATTGTTGCATGTTTTACTATATTATCTGTAGCTTTGTTAAGAATTTTATGTTTAAATTTTGCCAAATAACCTTTATCTAATGAAAGTTACTTTTAATTACATGTTTAAAATTAAATCCTGTAAGGTTAAAATGATTAAACATATAAGAGCTTTTGCTAAAGCTATGAATGAAGTATAGTAATGTGATGCAATAATTTTTCTTTCATTAAGTTTCGATCATAATTAATATTTACATCTTATACATTGCTTTCTCAATCTAGTTCTCAACGTATTTATTATCAAAACCTATCAATTGTGACCAATTGCATAAAATATTTCTAGGATTATTCTTATTCATAATCTATTATATATTAGGATCCATCTATTAAAAATTAGCAGATATGGATATCTGCATTTAATTCAAATTATCGAATTAGTCAGATTACAGATCAAAACACTATTATCTTCAATTAATTATTTATAGTTTTACAATTTTATTGGGTTTTTATTTATATAACTATAGTACTTTTTAAATAGAAATGTTTTAGATAGGGAACTAGTTAGTTTTTATTGGCTGAAAATAGTATCACGTGACTCGTGACAAAATTTAATATAACGAGGGGCAACAAATACATTTTTCTTTCAAATATTATCATATTAAATTTTATTTAAATATTTTAAATAATTAAAAAAATAGATCAGAGACATATTTATAGTAATTAAATAGCCAAATTTGTCTGCAAATTTTTACCAATTAAGAGATAAGAATTGTAATTTTTTTTTAAAAAAATATATAAATGTGTAATGTACTGTGTATTCAATTTTAAAATAAAGGTTTTAATTATGAATCAACTAAAACATTATAAAATCCTTTTATTTTTAATGCTCAAAAATAAATATAAAAAAAAACTACTTTGTTATTTAATTTTTGAAAAGCACAAATAAATACAACCAAAGCACTACTAAATACAATCATTCTTATTAAAATAAAACTACCTATTATAGTAAAGACTAGTTTATATAAAAAGTCTAACCTTTTTCATTATTAGTATCATAAACAATATAATTTCAGTATCATATGATTCGTCTCAACAAGACAATCGAAAGATATCAAAATTATTTGATCCCAATCACCAGATCCAAAAATTTAATATAGTAATAAAGAAAATCTTCATACCCAATCACTTCACTATAATGAAAGATATTTGTTGCCTGATATCTTGATAGACCTAATAGTATAACAATCAATATAATTTGGTATTATACAATTTGTCTTAACAAGACAAATTGAATAATACTAAAGGTCTAATTATTCCAGCCTGATCACTTCACTAAAAAAAAAAACTTATAAATATCTGTCATATATGCTATGTCTTCCAAACTACAAAAAAATCATATTTAAAAAAAAATTAGTAGTATTATTAATTTACCAATTCTTACAAAAAAAATATATAAAACAAAAACAAACTATAGAAAAATTCTTAAATGAAGATTCGTCTGACTAGGAAGAGGTTTATGATAACTTTAGCCAAGAATTTAGTACAAACTTTGAACCGTAAGCAACAAACAATGAAACGCTTACATTTGATCAGTATTTATTGGAAAAATTGAAGGAAATCATGTTTCAATTGATTGATGAATCCGATGACAAACTATCTGAAGGTGATGAAGAATTTTTTCAAAGTAATGATAAAGCAGAAATTGAAGATTTTGAAGAACTGATTCCTCAAGCAGCAAGTTTTAATATCGATTTAACATGTTATGTTATCGTTGATAATGATAATGATGGCAACATAATTCAAAAATGCACTAAATCAACAAATTGCTCTTTAAGACAACTATCTGGTACAAAGGAAATTGATTCTCAAGTTGTGCAAGGAGTTAGAGACGATATTTTAGTACTAATAATTTGCTTGCATCATCTAAATTATGATCAAAAACTGTACATGAATTTAGTTCAAAAGATCTATCCACTGTAGAAGTATGATAAATCCACATCACTGCCTATTTTGTAATAAAAATAAGTATTTTTTTACAAGAGGTAAAACATGTAAAAAACATACTTAAAAAGTATATAACCACACAATTCAAGCCCTATGTCATAGATTGTTCCAGTGCCTGGCGATGACTAAATATGAGAAGCTATCAGAAAATTAAAAAAATCACCTTACAATGATAAAACTTGTTTTATTTGCTCTGATTGCTTTGTAAAAAATATGGACACTTTTCAATTCAACCAAAAACAGGATTTATTTAACCTTTATGCATAGAATAAGAACAACACAAAGCTGATACCATGTTGGCCTTAAAGTTTTTTGCTAACTGGATTAAACAGAATGCTGAATTCAGAGATGATTCTATAAAAGAAAATTTACTAAAAGAATTAATTACCCTTTTTAATAATTTAACAAATATATCTGAAGTGCAAAATTCAAAAAATATAAATGATAAATCTTCAATTCCAAGCTGTTTTTTAATAAAAATAGTATTTTTGGTTAAAAAAGTCAAAGTTGATGAAAAAAAAGATTTTCTATTAAAAACTTCTACATACCTAGCTCTTGGAAATATGCTTGCTAATTCCATATTCCAAGAATGATCTGAATTAAAAAATAAATTATTTTCGCTTGAAGATCCCAAATCCTTGGACAAATACTATCTAGCCATGCTATCATCTCTTGTTAATTTTTTTTATGGTTTAATTTCAGCTATAAAAGAAAAAAAATTGCAAGTATTGGCTAGAAAAAGAAAAGAAAGAAATATGCCTCCTCCACAGTTGAAAAGAAAAAATATTGAACTACTTTCTTCTTTTTTTGTCTTTATAATATTTACAATTGCTTTTTCTCACTGGAAAATATATATTCTTGCTTCTCTTTGTCAATGACCAAAAATGATAGGAATTTTGTACAAAATTCTTCACATGGTTCAGGTAATAGCATACGTAAGAGATCATGAAGTTCATATCCAAAAAAAAGAATGTCTGCTGCAAATCCTCAGTTAAGATTAAATAAAAATTGAAATGTTTTAAATATCACAGCTATAGATAATATTGATATAAAAGATGTGACTTTTCAATATGGTAATATTTTTGAAGCAGTTTGAAAAACTGCACACATGACAGTAAGAATAGTTTTTCAATTTCAATGTTTGGAACTTGTCAACTTAAATAGCGATTTAATGGAAGATTATCTTCTTTTTGGCATAAGTTCTATTATAAAACAATAGCAAACAGAAATAGATTTAGTTTTTGATTAATTAGTTAGTCAAAAGCAGATTTTTAGTAACAATCATATTAATGAAGCTATTAAAAAAAAGTATAGATTCAATAATATTTGTAGATCTCCTGAATGTAGTAATTCTTAAACTGAGAAAAGCTCTAAGTAAAAATGAGCATGTTTACAATGCTGTCGATATATTCCTAGACAATTTTAGTTATACAGAAGATAGTGTGTTAAATCTAGTATATGACAAAACAATATATCATCATATAAAAGACTACAAAAGTGAAGACCAAACCATTTATTGTATTCTAGATCAATGGCATACAAGCAAGGCAATGTATAGTGCATTAATTGCTGCCTTTTCAGATTATAGACTTTTTGGCCTTGCTGCACGTCTTGGTGTCAAGTTTCTTGATAAACTTGAAAAAGTTGTTAATTATCAGGTAATGTTTTATTTACTTGAACTTCTTTGGAATGCTGTTGGAATTGCAATTCATCAATATGCTAAAGAAAAAAATATACTTATTAGTGATATTTTTAAAACAAATAACAAAATTTTGAAAGTGTGATATAACTTTTATCAATGGGTGAGATACTTGAAATTGTACAAACTTGGTATTCGAATGGGAAACTTCGATCTGCAAATGCATAGTTTGATGGCATTTGCATCTTTATTTCATATTACAAGAAGATATTGATATGCAGAATCTGTAGCACAATTCATATCAGATATTCAAAATAATCCACAACTTCTTCAAAATTTTTGAAAAGTGCCTTCAATTAATTCAACACAAAAAAAGTATTACTTTGCTATTGGCAAGAGTTT